CCTGCAAAGCCCGCCTTACATTCTAGCTTCTCCTTTTTTTTTTTTTGTTTTTTTTGGGAGGCAGAAAAACTATTTGTTGCTGCCGCTGCTGTCAACTCCAGGGGGAGGCTGGTTGGGGTCTGAGGCAGCATCAGGCCCCGTGGCTAGCACCCCTCCGGTGGCCCCCGTTTGGTGCGATGGTCCCCATCTCTTCTTTGCGTAACCCCATGCCCATGCCCATCCCCATGCCCATCCCCATCCCTGGAACATATTTGCACTGTCTGACAATTTTTAAGCAATTTCAGCTCCAGCTTGGGCATGACTTGGCGCTCGCTTTGGGTGGGACTCCACTCCCCGCACCATTTCCCGACGGCACTGCATCCTGTTTAAATGTTTTCCCTTTCCTTTTCCATTTTTATTTTTTTACAGTTACTTTGGTAGCAAGGAGCAGGCGGGTACCGGGGAGGGGGAGCAGCGCGTCGTCGAAATTAAAAATAAATTTCACAGTAAACACACATAAAAAGAGACGCTGCCATGGATGGGCTCTGGTCCGGGGGCCCAGGTCTTGGCTGGGCGTCAGGGATGTCGGGGTTGTTGTGTGACGAGACCGGGGCTGGTGGATACATCCGATTAGATTGATCGAATCTCGACCGGAGATATCCTCTGTAAGGCATCGCCATTCCACAAGCGACTTTGCACCTGTTTTTGTTTCTTTTTTTATCTCTCTTTAAATCATAAATATCCCGAATCCGCCCTCTCATCAAATTTAAAGACTCCAGTATCTATGGCATTACGAATTTCGTATCAATTAAGACATAATTTCGACACTTGAGTCCCACCGAGTCCCACCAAATAACCCCCCAGTTCAATCAGTTCCTGCCCCTGTTTTGGTCCTGGGTATCCCTTAGAAAGAAGGAACACGAAAAGAAAAAATAAATTTGTATTGTATGTACACCGAATTTCCAGGGGAACGGAACAGCATCGTAGTGCCAAAAGCCGGACGTTCAAAAATAGTTCGACGAGACGGGGACTGGGCGACTGGGGGACTGGGGGACTGTGGATTGGGGACTGCGACACAGGGCTGTCGCTGCGGCAGATTGGCGGTGTCTCAGCGCAGCGCAGCGCAGCGCCTCTGCCCTTGAATCCGATTTCGGGGCTGGGAGAGTACGGAGAATCGAGAGTGGAGAGTGGATATAGTGCAGAAGCGTGCCAAGAGCCCGGACGACGTTCAACGGCGTACAGCTGTCCGGGAGATGGGAGTGGGGCGAATGGCGACTCTGGACTTTGGATCGGAGTGGTAGGGGAGGCAGATCAGGGAGTGTAACTTACACGTCTGATGCTTATATTTAGCAGCCAGGCAACACAATGATGGAAAATCCAAACGGAGGATAGCAACAGCAACGGCAAAAAGCGAAGGAAAATGAAAAGCAAAGAAAAGCGACACGACAGATGAAAGAGGAGCGGTGGCGGAGCAGCAAGGGCACAAGCACAGGCTGAGGCAGAGGCAGAGGCAGAAGCACAGAGAGGAAGTGACGTCTCGACAATGCAGTTGCCATGGAGAGGGCTCCACGGCACGGCGTAACCCTCCTATTTATTCGAAACCCCCTTAATGAGCGGCAAAAACTGTCAACTAAATGATGGGGAGCGGATGGCGGATGGCTGCTGGGGTCTGCTCTGGTCTGGTCTGAAGGAAAGGATTCCGATTTGATTTGATGGAACTGAAATTGATTTCGATTGAGGGGGCATTAAGGACCGACCGTTTGCGTGGTCTAACAATAGATTAAAGAGCCCAGTGACAGCTGCGGACAAAGGAAATAACTTGGAACTTCACAGAATTTGCTCCCTAAATTGGAACTCAAAGATTTACGCACGCGTTTCCCATTCCATCAAACGAATTCCCAAAAATTTCTCTGGAAAAATACAGATTGGTATTCGAGAGAAGGCGAAGCTAAAGTTTCATTAAATTCCAAGACATCCGCGATTCTTTCTCTTACAAGAAAATTTAAATCTCTGAAAACCGTTGGAAGATCGATGTAGAACTATTTTTTGTTCTATAATTTTTATTTTTTTTTTATAAAAATCTACAAAAAAAAAGAGAAATTCTTGTACATATGTACATAGGTCGGTTTTGTAGATTAGAAAATTCCCACCGATGCTCCGTCTCTGACCTCGGCCCAATGCCTGCTCGTCTTCGTCGGTTCGGCTCGTCTGGACAGCTGAGTCGGTCCCAGAATCCTACAAAAAATACAAAAAGGTGTAGTAAGCAAGACACTCCCTCCCCTCCTTTGATAGAGATATTTAGGCATTGCAGATAATGCAGAGAAATTGGATATATAAAAAAAGAGTATTGAAAAGTATGGAAGAGTACGGGGAGATATGTTTTTTATTTATGTATTTATTTCTAATTGGAAATATTTCAAAACTACAAGCCCCATTTCGGTGGAACGGAACCCTATCTTGTAGGCCAAAAATTTATGAGATCTCCTTGCTCCTTCTTATCGGGTAGCTCTGGTTTGCTCGTTTTTATTATGGTTCTGAGATTGTTTATAAACAATAAATGGAAAATGGTAGTCAAGCCGCGATTGGAAATGCATTTTCTTATCCACAGATAGATAAAGGGAGAGAGAGGGAGCCATATATGTACATATGTACATATGTACAATGTATGTGCATCCATCTCCTTCTCTGTCGGTTTTGGGTAAATTTAGAGCTAAGTGAGTGAGGGAGAGAGAGAACAAACGCATCGATATTCCCATGCGGCGGCCATAAATTACGGGACAATTACCCATCGAAAAACGAAGCAGTGGAGGAGGCAGTCGAACGAAAGAAAGCAGCGCCAAAGAGAGAACCGAAATAAGCAGAAAATTGGAAAAGAGCGCAACGCTGCGGCCCGGCCCCGACACTTCATCACGACGCCCGAGCGCCCGCTCGCCCGACCGCCCGCCCGCTCGCTCGCGTACCGCTCCCTCGCAGCGCTGCCACTAAGATTCTACCGTCTCCCGCTCTCACACCCGCCCTCACACGCGTAGTTTAAATTGCGCTCACAGCAATCGTGCCATAAATTCCCCCCCATCCACGCCTTTCCGAAAAGTTGTTTATTTTTGGGTCTAGGAAAATGTCTCTGCTACTGCTGCTGCTGCAATCTTCTCATCTTTCCATCTTCCAGTCTGCCTATACATATGTAGCATCTACCCCACCAGAGAGACTCTGTGTTTGTGTATCGATTCAATTATGGAACATTTCCGAATCGACTCATCATGCAGTCGATTGATTAACAAGTATACTGGGAAACCTTCTTTGGCTCCAACAGCGCCAGATCAAATGGGATATGTTTGTACATACATATGTATGTATATGTTTGATCGGCTTTGGACCTGTCAAGGCAAATCAAAGCTCTACTTCCCAAAAAACTGGAAAGCTGGACCATATGTTGTTGGGATCGCACTCTGCAATCCACACAGTCCAGATGTTAGGCCAAAAGGAGAGCACACTGCTTACCTGCGAAGAGGAGCACTGCTTACCTGAGGGGGAGGAGCACTGATTGCGCCAACAGAAGGGGTAGACTGATGTGGGTGATTTGCCAAAAAGGAGAACAGCTGCTGCTGATGCCGCAGTCGAGGTGTCATGACAGCATTGACCTCTGAAGCTCCTCCAGTTGTTGGTGGTCCACACTCAGTCGCGGCGGAAAGTGGCGCATCTAACAGCAAATCAGTTGGCAATTAGGGTACAACCCCTGCCAGATGGCCAGCGAAAGGAGAGCGAGAGGGAGAGCAAAGCCCCAACTTGAGTTTCATCCACTTCCCCCCTCCCCCGACTACGATTCCTTATCAATAGCGCCAAGATCTCTTGCACCAGAATAGCCATCGAACCTCAAACGAACCTCGAACGAGCCCCTGTTGCGCTTAACAGTGGCCTAACAGTCGTCTAACAGCTGTCGAGCCGAAGCCTCTGCCATGCAACATGTGTTTTGTGTCAAGCATGTTGGCATCAAACCCCAGTACTGATTGCAACGCAATTATGAGCCCAACCGAACAAATGGGCTATGGAGAGGTATGGACAACGAGGAAAAACAGCACAGCAACATTTAAGAGTCCCACGAACTCCACCTCACCGTGTTTGATCAACAATATGCCGTGATGGCCTACAAGTATGTTGAGCAAGAGGGTGAGCTCAGCCTTGCATGCGTTGTATTTTCTGGGTCGTTTGGCCTGTTGTCCATACCCTTTTTGTCATCAGCAACACGCGCTTGTTGCCGAGCAACATTTCCCAGCACCGGCAACATTTGCAGGCGGGCGGTTTTGAAAGCCGGCCTTGCCGCCCCAATGTATTTCGTATCTCAGAAATTTTTTGTTAGTGACATGGTCGAGACACGTCCATTCACGTTGTGGGCTGCGGGTGTATTCGAAATATATTCGTCGTGTTTATCGTGAAGCGTGAATTCTTTGCATGGAAACATTCGTGAATGAATATTCTTTTTTTGGAATAATAAATAAAAACCTAAGAAATAAATAAAAACAAGGGACAGCAGTGAGCAAAAGAACGAAAAAACTTCCTACTTGGATCAATGTGTGAAATTTTCAAAATATATTTGAACAAAAGTGGAAAGATTTCAACGAAAGAACGAACCTACAAAAGAGTTTGAGTGGCATAAACAAATGTGGCAAAGGCAAATGTCAGTTCAGTTCAGTGCAAAAAATAATTGAGTTTTTTTTATAATTTTTTTTTTATTTCTGGAAAAATTCAAATACACCCCAAAATAATAAAAAGAAAAGAAGAAGAAAAAATAAACAAGTGCAAAGCCAAAAAACGATTTTTTTGGTGTGGATTACCAGTGAAGGAAAGTGAAGTGATGGCTTAAATGGATTAAACATAAATAAGAAAACACACTGAGAGAAAGAAAGAGAGAGAGAGAGAGAGAGAGATATTATGCAGTGTCCAGATAAGTGCGCGATTGTTCCGGCACTAAGATCTATATAGTCCTAATCGTATATTGAAAAAACCGAATATCATTCGGGGAAAGGAACCCGTAATACGGCCACTGTGAGTAGCAATTGTGTTTTGTCTTTTATTTATGGCAATAGTATCCCAAAACCCCTACCCGGAATAAGCCGCACAATTTTTGGATATTTTGTTTTTTGCTTGGGAAAATGCTCTGGAAAATGCACTAATCCCCCACCAGTAGTTGCACCTCAACTTTGACCTTCTTGTGTTTGGTTTGGTTTTGTTGATTAAATACGGTTAGGGGCCCCAGCCCACCCACAGTTTCGGGCCTCTGACATTTTCCCTGTTTCGGTGGGTGGTGCACGAATGGAATGGGATTGGATGTTCCTTAGAATATTCGAAGAGATCCATGAATTACGAGATCCACGGTGTGCCAGTGATCGTGGCAGATATTTCTTTCCTTATGAGTGGATCCAAATCCAAATATATGTAGATTCTGTACGACAAACATTTACAATATTCCCTTTAAGAATTTTCAATAACAAAAAATGTACACGGTGTAGTCTCATTTGTTGTATTCTTAAATATTCAGCGATAATTGAAAATTGTGATCTGATTTCCTATTCACGTTTTACACTTTCCTCTGGGATAGATCTGGTTCTGGCCAGACCCTAATTGACTTTTTGTCCGTCTCTACCATTCCATCAGAGGCATCATTCCATCCCCCCCCCCCCCCCCCCACTCCCTTTTTCGTGGGGAAAAGCAAATGCTCTGCTTAGCTCTGCTCCAATCTGTTCATCTTTTGCTCTTCTGGCTTTTGCATGATTTATGATTGCCTCAAAACGATTATCATTCGTAGGCCATTTAGTAGAAAAAAGAATTATATAAATATATTAGAGCTTGGGGGGAAAAACAAGTTTTCCTCACTTAGTATTGTGTGCCTTCGATTTGCCTGGAGGCTGCAGTGTCAATGATGCCACTGCCACAGCCAGGGCCCAGAAGCACACTCCACACACACAGATAGACGGATGTACAGATACACAGATGCACAGAGGCTCGGATCTGTATCTCACAGATACACCGAAGCACACGCACCTGTCCCTTGTCATTACAAAAAAGGCAAGAAAAGTTTCATCTCTGGCTCTGGGCCTCGGTTCCGGGCTTCTGGGCTAACCTTTTCCTTGGCTCCAGCTCCAGCTCCAGCTCCAGCTTCTGATTCTTCACCTTTTTGCTGCTGCTGGTGCTTCTTGTTATGCCCTGTACTCACTGGGGTGCAAGGGTATGCTGTTCTCGCACAGCCCTTTCGAGCGTGGCATCGCATTGTATATATTTCATAATTTGCAACAGGGTATCCCCACAGTCGGGAGTCCAGCTGCCATTTATGGGTATATGGGTGTGTGTGTTGGGGTTTTTTGGATTTTATAATTTGCCCCAATTTGCTGGCATTGCAAATTGCTGAAAACGTCTGAAACAATCGACAGGCTGAGCGGGGGGAGGCAGGCGCAGGGGCAGGGGCAGAGGCAGGCCGACGGAAGTGCAACATGCTCATGTCGCAACTTGCTGTGGCTCTTGTTGTTGTTGTTGTTGTTGTTGTTTTTGCTGTAGATATTGATTGCCGGTGCAGAGGCAGAGGCAGAGGCAGAGGCAGGGACCTCCGCGTCCTTTTGCCTCCTCGATGGCAGTGGGGCATCGGCACCCAACATTTGTTGGATCGTTTTGACGCGTCCTCGTCAGCATGTCGAAACTTATTTTTCCTTTTCAATTTCAGCTTTCTTTCTTTTTGATTTTTGCTGCTGCTGCTGTTGCCGCTGCTGTTGTTGCCGCTGCTGCTGCTGCGGCTGTCGCTTTGTTAGTTCTTTGCATGCCACAAATTATGTTTCGGTGCTGCCGCTCGCCGCCTCACCTTGAGAGCTGTCAGCCTTTTTGACAGTTTCTGCTGTGGCGTTGCCACTGATTTGACTGGCGAAGGAGGCGCCCCATCATCCCCATTCCCCATTCCTCCTGGAGCCCTTTAGGTTGGGGGTTTTTTTTTTGGCTTGAGCCAAAAGCCATGATTGGCTGTCTTTTTATACAGTTTGCAACATTTTCTTTTTAAAAAATAATAAACACGATTTTTCCATTAAATGCAAGAAACCCTGTAGGACTAGTCGGAATCCATTCAAGCCCCTCAAAGTCCGCTACAGATGGGTCCATCGATCTGCATCCAACAGCTGTTTGGCCACTCATTTCTCAAGTCATCTCCAGCCAGAGACGATGCGAGACAGAGGCCGAGTGAAGAATGGAAAACAATTTATCCCTTGGTTAATTTGGTTAATTGAAGACAATTGAAAGCCGCTTTGCAGTTCATTAAGCCTCATCAGGCGATGAAAAGCGTCTTGCAGCCTCCCAGTCTCCAGCCTCCCAGCCTCCAGTCCCCAGCCATCAGCCTCCAGCCATCAGCCTTAGATCCATTCAGCCATCAGCTTCTTGTTTCTTCATTCTTTTCCATGACCTCCGTCCGTCCGTCCGTCCGTCCGCCCGCCCGTCCGCTCTTCCATGCTGCTTGTTGTCTTGTCGCCAGACTAATTAAAATATTTGCACTCAAATGCTTAAGCAATAAATATTTGTCAAGCTATCATCATTAGGAGCCCAGAGAGGGGGAGGTTGGAGCGGCTCTGATGGGGCATGCGGCCTGACCCCAAAAAATAAGTGGAGGCAAAAGAAGAAGCAGCAGCTGAAGAGCTCCACCACTTTGCACCAGGACGGGGGGGTACAAAATGGAAATGGAAAATGAAAATCTATGAGAGCGGCATTTTTAAAGTGCCTCCTCCCTCGTCCGACCCCGCACCCCGCACCAGCCCCCAGCCTGCTGCCTGCTGCCCCACTCTCCATCCCCCCCCATTCGGTTTGGCCTGCATTTTTGATGAGCTTTAATGGCGCCGCCTTAATGCAAGTGAAGCATACCGCACACACAGCCTTGCCCCTGCCCCTGCCCCTGCTCCAGCCGCTCATCGATACGTAGAGAGATCCCATCGAGAATGCCAATTAATAGTCATTGATGGGAAAAGTTGTACCAGAGCTCCAGGGCCAAGAGCCAAAGGAGATGGAGGAGGAGGAGATGGAGGAGGAGAAGTGTGCCGCCGGGTACCTCCTCAAGTCAATAAGTGACTCGAGGGGGGGAAGATTGCTCTTACGGCCCCGGCCATGTGTGATTCCGTTCCGGGCTTTTGATGGCCTCCCTTCCGCACCCTTCTCAGTCCCCTTTTCGGGGGTTGGCAGACGGCCCAAAAAAGAACAGGCCACGCGGAATGGGGACAAACATCAAATTAGTCTAAAAATCGCAGCGGTACAGGGCAAGGGAGTGCAGGGGGGAGGAAAGAAGAGATCCAGAAAGACTGGACTCAAATGGGCATAAAATTTCCTTATTGTCGGTCATTGAATGCCGCACAATAGTTTTGGAATGAGAGTCGAAGGCGAAAATTTATGCCATATGGCCTAGAAATTGGAATAGAATGAGGATTGTGGACAGGGACAGAGGGTGGGAAAGGGGGAGGGGGAGGGAAGATGGCAAAGGGAGGCAAGATTTGGGGAAGAATTGTTTGAAATGTGATATCAGGACCAGGGGACTCTGGAATACGAGATCTCATCGCCCCTCATTCCCCGAACGGGATCTGTTTTCGCATCTACCATCCTGTGGCAGCCGTTTTCATGCGGCAATTGAACTCTGAGTCAGGCCGAAAGAAAAGAAATTGAAAGAACTTATGAAAATGTTTTACAATATCCTTTTCATGTTATTACAAGTGTATGTCCTTGTCGTCAGCTTTGTCAAAATGTCTGGCAACGCTTCTACTTCCTGCGCTCTTCCTTCTTGCCCTATGCCTGCCCTCTGCCACATTTCTTTCGCTTCCAGTGCCCTCCCCCCCGCACCAGACCAAGAAGCTTCTTGGTGTGGAACATCTCTACTCCTCTGGGGCGTCGTCAAGTTCGCGCTGCGTTTGAATATGTCATTATACCCTGCCAGCGGGCGGGTATTATGATTTCCATCCGATGTTTGTCACAAGCAGCCAAAAGCCAAAGAGCTGTGGAAATAAAACCACCAAAGTCGATAGCCTATAGTTTTTCCATCATAGTTCCATCATAATCGGATGAAACATAGATTTGAGAATCGTTACCAAAAGACTATGAAAATATTTAATACATGCACAATTTATATTTTAAATCTATATTTGTACATTCAACAAATGGAATAGATTATTTAATTATTTATGATATGAAACATGAATCCGAGAGAGTATCAGAGTACTCGACCCTTTTTGTGACTGGTCTGCTCTCTCTCTGTCTCTGTCTCTGTCTCTCTGTCTCCACTTTCAGGAACAACAATGTTGACGCGTTGTCGTCGTTGTTGTTGCTGTTGCTGTTGCCGCGTGCAACCCTTCGCTCCTTTCCTTTCATTTTCCTCCTCCTTGGAATGAAAGAACGAAAGGAATGTATGCTGATGTGTGTGGGTGTGTGTGTGTGTGTGTGTGTGGGTGGATTGCCCGCCTGACGGAAGTGACAGTTGAACATTCATTCATTCATTCGCTCATTCATTCAGCAACCACTCACTCCTCCCCTCCCCATCCTGTCCTGTCCCTCCCTCCCTCGCTCGCTCGGGGAAAGGGGAAAAATCAAGCCAAAGCAGCGACCGAACAGTAACCATAAAGGAAAAGCTTGACGGGCCAGAAGTAAAGTGAAGCAGGCAACACACAGCACAAAAAAAAAACGAAAACGAAACGAAACGAAGCGAAAGAAGAAAATATCTACAAAAAATTTCTATGGCAATTTGGCTTCCGAATTTCAAGAGGGTGAAGGGTAGGGGTTCGAGATGAGCGCGTGATCGTACCAAAAAAACCTCATTAAAGATATATATATACAAAGAAAACCCTCTAAATCTCTAGGAAAAATCTCTAAATATTATTTCAAAATTTCTAAAGCAATGTAAGAAATAAACGAATTAGTTAATTAATTTGTCAATATATTTGTAGTCAATATTTTTTCATAAATGTGTCATAAATGCTATGGAAACGTTTTTTTCACCAATCTCAGGCTTTATCCCTATCCTTAAGAAAAGGTTTCTACCATAAAAATTACAATTTAGTAAATTTCGAGGGCAGGAGCCTATCTTTTCCATCATTATATGGCTCGTGAGTTATGTCTGGCTGCCATCTCTAAGCGCATCTCTCAAACTAGGAGCCGGAGGAGGAGCAGAAGGAGGGGCAAGAGGAGGAGCAGGAGTTGGAGTCAACCATGTGCGATGTCTTCGCCTTCGTCCGTCGCGCGACTCCCCGGCGGAAACACAACGCAATGACTGAACGGAAGTTTTTTGGAAGCGCATAAAATTATTATGGAGTCGTCTTCCACTTTTTTGCTCCTTTTTGTACGTTCTGCGCCTTCGTGGACGTGGACGCGGACGTGGCGCGTCAATTGCGGGTCCGAGAGTCCGGGGCTAGGGGAGACAGGACCTTCGTTGCGGCTCTGCTGGCACTTCATAGTCCCTGGCTGTCGCAGTCAGCTTTTTATGGCTCGACGAGCTCATGTCCTCCCTTGGATCCGCCGGCTGCCCCTCTCCTGCTGCCGGCGGAGACCTTTGTGAGAATTCACTTTAGTTTTTGGCAGTTACTGGGCGATTGGTTTAGTTTGTCTATCCGCCGTCCATGTCCGTGTCCATGTCCAGCCCTCCCTCACTCCATTTCTCCATCGTTCCTTCCCGCAGTCCCCTCTGCCCCTGGTTCATACTATTATTTTTATGCGCAAATTTAATATTTACATTTAGCCAAAGTGGATTTTGGTCTTCCACTTCCACTTCCACTTCTTCCTCCACTTGTCTATCGTTGACTCTATTTTCTTCGTCTCCGTCGCCGTCGCCGTCTCCGTCTCTGGCTACAGCATTTTTATCAACTGACAACTTCTGACCGCAGAATGTTCCCTCCAGCTCTGCTCCGTCAAAGATGTATCTACAAGATAAACAAGAACAAGCCCAGAAGAAGAAGCAGAAGAAAAAAATATAAAATGGCATTTAGATAAGCCGAAAAACTTTTCCCTCCGCCGCCTGCCCTCCAGGATAGGGGCTATACGAATGTGGGGTGGGGAAGGGGGGCCTGCCTGCATATGAAATATTTGTGGTCTTGTGTGGGGCCGAACAACTCTCACGAGAGGCCAGAGACCGACCGAGTATAGCCGGACACTCCGTTCCGGACGGAGGAATGAGATCGAATTTGCCGGAAAAGATCCCAGGCATGCAGGAAGCAAGGGCAGGCCGGGGAGCAAATCCCATTGAATTTCCCAGGAAAATCTTTCAATCTGATTGCAACAAAATTCCTTCATTGATTAGAGGAAACTTTTGTGGGGGCTCCATCACATTTTACATGTGCATCCGAAACAAAAACAAAAACAAACAAAATGTACAACAATGTTTTGCAAAAATAATCCCGATGATTGTTTTTGCACAGACAATCAATCAATTTAACCATCAATTATCGCCTCGATGGCAGGGCAGCCCATCGATATTAATTTACAATAACAATAAATGGAGAACTGTAATTATATTTTTACTTTTATTTTATTTTAGGCTGCCTTTTTTCTTTCTCTTGGGAATGCTTTAAAGCCTACAGTTTTTGGTTACATATTTTATTTATTCCACTTGGAATTTTCGAAACATTTATTTTTATTTAATTTTTTTTTTTTAATTTTATTATTTAATATTTTTATTGTTTTTTGTTATCATAATTTTTTTTATTATTTTTCTGTTAGTTTTTAATTTATATATATTTATATAAATTCGTTTCTGTGTTTATTACTATTATTTTTTATACGAATTTATTTGTTAATATCAGAATTATGTATACAAATTTTAATTCGTTTTTTCTTTCATTTTATTTTGGTTTATTATTTTGTATTACTATTTATTTAATTTATAATTTTGTTTCATAAAATATAAAAAGGAAACGAAGCGCACTCTGTCCAGTTGGTACGTGGGAGGAGGGGTTTCTAATGTCTCTAATAAATAATTCATCTATTTTTGTTTGTTTTTTTTTTTGGGCTATGAGTCACTATGCAGCCACCCCTGTAACCCCCCCACGCCCACGTCCACCCACTCCTCAAGGGTTCCAGCTGCCTTTGTGCTCTAGTTTAAGTTTCGATTTTGTTTGTTGTTCAGTTTTTACGAGTAAAACCGTATAGCCCGCCCTCGGACAACCCCCAAAAAAGCGGAAAAGCGAGCCCAATCGCAGTCCACCCTCTCCCCGTATGAGTCATGCAATTGTCTACCATCTGGAGGAACCCCCTCCTGGCTATCCCATCCCCCGTAGTGGAGGATTTTCCCTGGGTAAATCGTTAAATTAGCGCATTTTCGACAGCAGCTGACTCGGGATCTGGATCTGCCCGCTGCTGAGGGCGGGGGGTTTAGGAAACAGCTGACGTGGCAGCTAGGGGAGTCGTGCGGGGGTGGCTGGTTTCCCCCCGCTCTGTGTTGATTTCGATATTTTTATTTATTCCCATTTTGATACCCGGCCCAGCCCCCGCCCCTGCCACCGCTCCCGCTCCCGCTCCGGCTGCCGTTGAATTTGTAAAACATTTCCAAGTACACGAGCGACAAACAGGCAACCACTTAACGCTTGTTGCCACGTTCATCCATTTTGTAGCCCTGTCCTGCCATGTCCTGGAGTGCGTTTGCACCACCTCCTGCCCCACCAGCAGCGGGGGCAGCAGCTGGAAAAAGAGACAATCGCCTGATTCGGCTTTGGCTTTCCGTGCCACACACGTTTTGTACTTTTGTTTTTTCATTCATTCTGCTCCTGCTCGACTCGCTGGCTCTCTGTATATTTACTTTTATTGTGTTGCATGTTGTCCCTGTGTGTGTGTGTCGGAGACACAGACCCACACACACACACATACCTACATATATCTTTTCTAACCCTCGCACTGTCAGTGGCAGTGGCAGTGGCACTCCTGCTGCCTCCTTGGAAGGGCATGCAAAGGGAATAATCGGAGAGAACGTTCCATGAATCATGGCCTGCAGTCGGTCGCTCGGTCGGTCGCTCAGGTGTGTGACGAACAGGGTGGGGGTGGGGGTGGGGGGTAAAATAGGGGGGAACTAGCAACACACATATGTGCGGTTACACGGGGGGTTTGGGGTCTCATGCATGAATCAATTTCTCAATTTGTTGCAGGCCTTTGCAGGGCATCGGTAGTATGCACATGATACAGTGCGTACCGAAACTATCAGGCAGTTGCTACACTCCGATATTTGATAAATTGTTTTCTTCATTCGGTTGCCATCGTCTGCCCATTCGTAATCCGCATCTCATTCGGATACCTTTTCAATAAAAATGCCCTGGAGCACCATCGGAGCACTTCCCAAGTCCCACAGCCATTTCCTCCGTAATATATTTTCATTGCAACAATTACCGAAGATCATAATAGAAAATTAAGTAGAGGAAAGGACAGAGACAGAGACAAAGGTCCTTTCTCCAAAGAGGAACGACTGGCGTGGGGTAAAAGTTGCATAAAAATGTCGATTGTTGACTTTTTATGCGAAATATGCGTGATTCCCGACAAGTTTTTTGGGGCAGGATGAATGAATGGATGGGTGTACTGGGCTATGTACTGTGGGCAGGGGTACATTATGTCTAATAAACATTTTGTGCCCTATAAAAGAGCAATGAATGCGGAAGCCCATCGCTGCCAAACACGGGACCGTGCGTGTTTATGGCCGAAAGATGAAGACGAACGAACAGAGCAGCCATCAGCCAACAGCCAACAGCCAGAGGCCAAGCGGAACAACAGCAAAAACATAGCCAAAAACAAGTAGCAATAGGAACAACAATTAATATGTACACACACAAACACACATGAGAATCCAGCTATGAAAACAAAAAATAGCCAGAAGTCGAAACACAGACAGAGACACAGGCAGAGACACAGACACATCAGGAATCCGGAATCAGGAATTAAACTAATAATCTGACTTTTCCGCCTTGTGTTTTCCTTGCAGATCTCCAACGGAACGGCAGACGAAGCCCCAAAGAGAAAACAAAACAGAGAGAAAAACACCCAGAGAGGGGCAAACGCAACCCCAACCCCCACCCCAGCCCCCTTTGCACAAAGGTAAATCCATCTATAGGAATCCCAAAAGCTGCAAAAATGTTTAATAATGAGAGCATTTTTAGCTTCAGACATATTTTCCAAAAGTTAATGAAAGAAAATGAGTGAAGAATCCATACACTCAGAGAAATACAGCCATATTTAGGTTAAATTAAATTTGAATATTAAATAGAATTCACTTTGACTTTAATATAAATATTTGTAAAAGTATTTTGACTACGTCCCATATTTAATCTAATATTAAAACTAAAAAATAATTATATTTCATAATATTAGGAAATATATTTCAATTAAATATGAAATTTAATGTAATATATTTAATTTAAATCACACATTTTCCCATAATTCTTTTAATAATTTTCACTGGCAAACTATTCGATTTTCAGAGCTTTTTTTCTACAACTAATACTCTTTAAATCTTTCAAAATTCTTCTACGTGGATGATTTCTTGCTGGAGATTTCTCAGTACAAATATGGGGGTTGTAGCATTTTTGTTACGGTCATACGTGTGGCATTACACAATGTCGAAGCGAAGGCTTCGAGTCGAATAATAGTAGTAAAAAATACGAAAAAGAAGAAAAAAACAATTGTAAAACAAACTGCGAGAAAATAAAGACACAAAGAATAGCCCACGCCAAGCCCTTGACGAACCGAAATCAGTGTGGCAACCCTGTCCCCTGCTCCGCCTCGAGTTTCGCGTCCATAATAATTAGTTATAATCGGATTTGGTCGACATAGACATAGACATAGACACAGGCTGAAGGTGTCGCCAGTGGAAGTTGTTGTCGTTGTGGTGGCAGCAGCTTGTGGTGCATGTGGTGCAGCACACACAGAAAGATAGATACGGAGAGGTATAGAGGAGTGCGGAGTGCGGAGTGCGGAGTGGGGAAAGAACGCCCACACAACCCACCAATATAACGGTCGACCACAAAGCAATCAAACGAAAAGAAAAGCCTGACAACTCTGAGTGGGTCGCTGGAACCGAAATCGGATTCGGAATCGGGAAAACTGTATCTGTATCTGTATCTCAGACACTGCAACGGGTGGGTCTCTGTCTCTGTCGCTGCACCTTTTCCCTGTCTCTGTCTCTGTCTCTGGCTCTGGCTCTGTGTTCATTATTATTGCTCTTTTCTAACACGTTTCAATACGATGCGATTCGAGTCGAATCGAGTAGAGTCGCGTAGCGTCGCATCGCATCGCGTCGCGTCTCTAACTGAATGCACTAACTAAACCAAGTCGAAGTTTTTTTGTGGGGCCCCACACAGCAGAATGACAGAATGGGGGGAATCGAATGGAGTGGAGTGGAGTGGAGTGGGGAAACCCACCTGTATCTGTACGGTGAAAAAGGTCTCTTTTTTCTCGCATCTCGCATCTGGCTCTTATTTATTGAATTGATTTGTATTTGTGGATATTTCTTGTACGATTTAAAATAGGTTGTTTCTCCTCTCTCTCTCTCTTCTCTTCCCTTGCCTTCTCTTCTGTTGTGTTATCTTTCTTTTTCTGCTGTCCCGGACCCTGCACTTGCTGCAGTGTCATGTGGCTGGGTCTCTGGATGGATGGGGGACACTCGTATAACTCAATTAGCCGCATGAAGGCAGGGCCCCCAAAAACGGACAAAAGAATAACCCATTCAGAGCCACAGTCACAGCCACAGCCACAGATGAGGTAGCAGCCGGCCAAGATTGTTTATTCTTCTCGTTACGTTACGTTGCCCTGCTCGTTCTTTCGGCTTTTGGGGTACCCCAAACAGGTACCAGGGTACGCCAAAAACAACAAAAACAAGAAACACCAGTGACAGCTGTCAAGTGAAGATTTTACAGATTTCTGGTCAGGCAATTGTCGTTGTCGCAACGTTTGCTGCTGCATTTTGGGGCAGGCTTAGGTGGATGATAATTTGAAAGGAAAACACTAAGCATTTGAGCGTTAAACTATGGGAACTTTGTCAATGAATCTCAAATATATGGATGGGTATCGTCTAAGGAATACCCGGGATAATTAAATGAATAATCTTCTTAATCTACTAATACATTTCATCTTCTTACATATTACTATTTGGACTTTATTTTGGAAGGTCGTACAACTCCTTTCCCCAGCCAGGTTGTCTCAGATCATCCTCAGCTGTGGGCCCCGTTCCAGAAACACCTTTCGAGCTCGTGCTGGTCCGAAACTACTATTTCGACATCGACATTTTTCACTCTGTTTGCCAATCGCCTGGCTTCGACTCCGACTCCGACTCCGAGCCTAGCTCCGGCTTGGATTGGATCGATCTATGTCAAAGCGTCGGCCCACACGCTCCTCTCCGTCCGCTACGAATGGAAATAAAACGAAACGCAACGGAATGAAGTGAAATAATAATAAAAGAAAAAAACACGCTTGGATGTGTGTGGGCGAGCTTGGACTTGGAATGGAGCTCGAATGGAGCATAAAATATGTTAATAAGGCTTAAAGTTATACAAATCTCTGACTCTCGGCCAAAAGTCGCCGGAACAGGCATAGGCACAGGCAGAGCCACAGGCACAGGCACGGGCATAGGCACAGATCGCTTGTAATACAAAACCATAAACATGAATTTGAAAAAAATGCTAAAATAAAGTGGAGAAGCCGAAGTCGAAGTCGAAGTCGAACGGGGAACCCAAAACCAAAACCCAAAACCGAACCTGTAGCTGATGCCGATGCCGAACCCACAATCACAAGACAGACCCCAAATACTGTTCAAGAGACGACAGCTGCTGGCCTGGTCTGGCCTGACTGCCCCTCTTCTGAGAGCCGCTTCTCTTTGTCATTGTTGCAGTGACAGTGTATCTTAGAGCATCAGAGTATCTTTTCTTGGCCTGGCTTAATTTCCTGCTGCCGCCGCCGCTGCCGCTGCCCGACCTCAACTTGTTCTGCCCTTGCCTTTTGTTGCTGTCGCGGCACACAGCACACACATCTTCTTCGGGCCCGAAACCCCGGACACCCAAAAAAAAAGAAGAACAACACAAAAAACCAACCACGAAATCAGTTAAGTTCAGGTGTTCAATTTACTGATTGAAATTCAGCTTCGATGTGGCCAAGCAACTTTCATTGTGGCTCTGACTCTCCCCAATCTCCGAGCCCCAATCCACAGTCCCCCCCTCCAATACCACAGACCCCGTGATACAACCACCACTCGTACGAGTGTACATATAGACCTTTTCCTGCTCGTCTGTCATCATTTTCTCTTATGATTTTATTTGGAGTTTGGGCTGCTGCTGGGCACTGCGACTGCCACTGGGAGCGATGGCTGTCCGTCCGTTTGTCTGGCTGTCTTCTACATCTATGGGTTCGTTTCATAATTTTATGCCCGGCCATGTCAGGAATTATGTTAGAATTATGCTAATGAGAGTCAGATCGATTCCAGATGCTTTAATTATACACGGTTAACAAGTTTTTCTTAGTTTCTTCTGCCTTCCGTCGTCGTCTTATCCCCTGTCCGAGCTGAAGCTGCAAGACTTGATGAATAACTTAACTGGTCGTCGCCGGGCAATGCTCGGTCATGATATGATAGCCATGCTAACCGTGTTAGCCAACACTGGTGGGGGGTTCGGGAGACGGAGGGCCTTGTCTCGAATTGATTCAAAATTAAATTGATTAAACTTATGAAATCTGAGCTGCGATCGAGTCATGTTTTGGCATCATTAATCTTTTATGCGTTTTTGGAACGGAGTTTCCGAGAGACTGTTGAAAAGAGTGTTTAACAGTGCTGCAAAACAACTAATTACAAAAAACTTCAACATCCATGAATGTTTAAATTATGACTCAAGTTAAGAGTTGCCATCCAGATCTATAGTGTTGATTAAGTGATGACTGTTATAAGGTGTTAGCCAACATTGAAAAACATAACTCTTTAAATTCCTTACTAAGTCTATACCTCAATCATAGAAAGATTATCTACTACATTTCATTTCCTGCATTATCCAACACTGTCCCGTTTACAACCAGAAGAGCTCTTCATTTATAGATCAACTAATTTATCAGCTGTGACTGTATTCTGTACATTTGATTAAAAAAATGTATGGTGCTATTCAAGTGAAGACTACATTATAGTCATTATAGTTAGTCAACACTGGAAAACATAATTGCTTAAACTCAATCCTTAACCACTCTTCGTATCTGTTACTTCAATCCTTTAGAGATTATCTAATACAAAATAATTTTTTTTTTAAATTCCTGCCTTAACCAACACTGTCCGGCTGAAAAGCTCTCTTGAAACTTGTTTCTGTGGAATAGTGACTCTCCTCTCTCCTTTTTAACTGTGTTGGCGCCCCCCATTGATTGAGTTCCTCTGGAAGGATGAGAACGATGACCTTTTTATCTGGCGTTTACTGTTGTGTTAACTTTTGCTGACTTTGTAGTCCTTGTAAGGACTTCGGCCCCGAGGTTCCTCTGAATGGCTCTGAGTGTGTCTGTGAGTGTGCGTGTGTGTGTGGGCCATTAATAGGCGATTTAAGTTTATTTTTTGGCCGTTGCCTTTTTATTGACACTGGACCCGGGCTCGGGCTCGGTCTCGGGCTCGGTCTCGGGCTCTCTGTGATCCCGGTACTCCATTTAGCCGGGCTTTTGCCTTGGGGCCCACACATACACACAAACAAACACACATACACACAGACGCACTTGGGCTCCTTTTGGCCTCTTAATCAGCCGGGGATGCAGAAGAGGACGATGCGCCCCAAATTGAATCCCTCGAAGCCATCATTGTTCGGCCTCATCCTCTTTGGCTGCTCTTCGTCCGTTTCCTCTTCCTTTGGATCTGCCTTCGGCTTTGGCTTGGCTTTCTCCTTTTGCCACTTAGCCGTTGCCTTTTAGTTGATTTGTTCGAGCAAACAAATTGTCAACAGAATCACCGAGAAGGGGGTCCCTCTCCTTGGAGCAGGGCCCCAAAAGGAGATACGGTCAAAAGGCGAGAGGCCGGGAGGCCGGGAGGCAGGAAGACTGGGCAGACACAGACTAACGCACAAATTGATTTTAATTGTTAGGCATTCCCT